ATTGCACGAATGGTGCGTCTCTATCTACACTGTGTACCACCAAAGAGTTAAAATGTTGTGCTCCATTTGTGTACAATGAATTGAAATGCATTCCACTGTCAAGTACAACTAAGAAGAACAAATAAAAAAATTAAAAAAAAATAATAACTTGCTAGCCAGGTGCGGTGGCACACTCCTGTAAGCCCAATGGCTTGGGAGGTTGAGACAGATGGATCCTGAGTCCAAAGCCAGCCTCAGCAATGGTGAGGTGCTAAGCAATTCAGTGAGACCCTTGCTATCTCTAATAATTAAACACAAAATTGGGTTGCAGATGTGGCTCAGTGATTAATGTCCCTGAGTTCAATCTCCGGTACCCCTCTGCCCCCCCCCCCCAAACTTGGTATCTTTCAAACAAGAAAGATGCAAGATACCACAGGCACTGCTCACAGTAATCTGCTTTTGTTAACATTAACTCAGGTGTGAGGAAACACCTAGAGGTCCCAGTGCCAATTCCCAGGCCTGGGGGACTGATTAGTAGGTCACTGAAGGGCTTCATCCAATTGCATCTCATCTTCTGAGCTGGTCTGGGAGCAGCTTACACTTTGCTCTGGCAATTGAGCTCTTTCCAATTCTCCAAAAGAAAATATAGATGATAGTTTGTTTTCAAACTCAAAAGAGTAAAAAGTTATAAGAAAAAACATTTCGGGAGATGAGTTCCACTCAACAAGAGCTAACAAATAGTCCTACCCAAAATTAAACCTTAAGAGAGAGTTATAATTTTCACCTTTAAACATTTTTTAAACAATTCTCAGAAATGTAGTATTGTGCAGAAATTGTCTTTTAGTTAACTATTATAAACATGTATAAAACCTTTAAGAATGTAAAATAGCAACCAGAGGTTTTCAAAATGTGGTCCCCAGACCTTAAAAACTGCTATAAAAAAAGTATAAGCCATTGAGAATGTAAGTGTGGCCCTCAGACCAGCAGCAGTGTCACCAAGGAAATGTATCCAAAATGCAAATTCTCGGGCCCAGACCTTCTGAATCAGGAATGCTGTAGGTGGGCTCTGAAAATCTGTTTTAACAAGCCTTGGAGGGATTCAGACACATACTACAGTGTGTGAATCATTGTTTATAGATGGATTATGAAGCTGTGTTCAGCAATGATTTCCATAAGAAATCTTAAAACTAGAGCAAGAAACTCTTCTAATTCTTTTATTTCCTGGTCAAGTAATATTAACAAGAGGTTTAAATAATAAGAAGAACAAAAGGCCCATCTATTTTTCGTATGGACAATATATGTTACATTTTCCTAAGCAAGACAGTTTTTCTTTTCTGAAACAAACGTGATGTGTGACCAAAAAAAAAGAAAAAGAAAAAAAGAAATCTAAATACTTACTGTAGGCATGACACACACAAGGGGAAACCCACCTTCCTCAGGATGTCAAGTCTTACACAGGGACAGGACCTCCTAAACCTTCAGCTGAAGCTATTCAGCACATGACCCTGGTCGGTTCTGTACCTTTTCAGACCTCATCTTCCATGTGACCTGTCACTTTCTCAACCACCTTTGCAAGGATGAGAGATGTAGTAACTGAGAAAACTAAATACAGCTCACACAGCTGGCCAGAAATCAAATTTATTATGTGTACAGCTTCCTAATGGTATCCAAAGAATCCACGTGGACACGTATGTAAGGTGAGTGTACGGGGCAGGTAGAGGTCAGATAATTAAATTAAATCTGAGGAAGAAACAATATTCATCCCCTTTAGCTGCTAAGGAGAAATGGTGGCTGGAGATGGGAGAGGAGAATCGGAGGAAAAGAGGCTGAGACGAATACTAGCCGGTAGGTGTGGAGGTTCGGGCTGGGGAGCAGTCCAGCAGGTCTCTTGGTCCTTCATTCCTTGAAGAATCCAATGAACCTTGCACCTCCCGACACCGGATAGACAGCACAGATGTGGCAAACTTCTTCCCTTGTTTTTTCTGAAGTATGCACCTCTCTCCTCAAAAAGCACAGACTTCTTAGTGCTCAGAGATGGCTATATTTTTGTTCTTCAGAGGAGAAAAACAGCCACTTTAAAATGTAAAATGTCTTCAATCAAGAGTCTAGCTCCTGTATATTTGCAATCTCTCAGGAAATATTTGCAAATGATACACATCTTGAAGATGGGCTCCCCCAAATTGTGCTTTTCAGGGGTCAGGAAACACCCTTGAAAGGAAGTCCCTGGCCAAAGATTGCAAGGAAGAAACAGGAAATGATACGTAGATATGTGTCTATGAGTTCTACAGGAAGTCTGAGCCTCTTAGACACCCTGTTGTCCCCACATACTTTGACAGGCAATTATATCACATTATGAACCAGTGGCCTGGTGGTGGCTGCAAAACATAGGCTACCCCTGAGAAGAGCTGGAATGACAGGAAAAATAAAATAAAAGAGGGGGGGGGGAGAAAAGGGAAAAAGGAGGGGAAGAAAAAGGAGGTAGTAGAAGACAGAAAATGAACAAGAAGGGATTTATCCACTTGTCCAACAGGACAGATCTTCAGCAGTTGCAGATGACAGCCGAGAACAGTCCTGGTTATAAACAAGAAATGCAGCCAAACTGGCCTATTCTGTTAGCAGTAAGGAAGCAGCACGCCTTAGAGCCCCTGCAGCATCCCCTTGGCACGAGGCATGCATGCTAACATAACAGCGGAAAGCAGGACGTGTTACAGCACGAATCATGAGGACAGGCTGACCTGCAGCACACAGGGAGCTGCAGGCCAGGAAAGAGCTGCCCCATAGGCAGAGCTGATACAAGTCCCAGCGAAGCCTCGGCCTGTTCACAATCAGTGTGTGCTACCTCAGTTTCCTAAGGCAGAGGTAAAAAATATGGGAAGGTGTCCAAAACAAGAGTTCGAACAAAATGTGAACGATCTGTACTTCCACTATTTAAAGTTAGCTTGTTCTCTAAAAAATGTGAGATGGACAAGGCAGTGGGGTATGTTCAAGTTCTGAGAAGGAACCTGGATAATACATGTCCCTCCTTATCAAAAAGGATTTGGTCCTGCAGTCGGGTGGTGATGGCCATCTGTATGCATTCCACAGAACAGCAACAGTCTCTCCCAGGCCCAGCAACCCTGGAGGACACTTTTCTCACCCACCCTCTTTCTCAAGACTTCCCTACGCACAAAGAACAAGGAAGGGGACCAGTGCTTCTGCACTGCCAGCTCTCTTTTGCTCCCCTCCCTTCCAAGAAGCCTCTTCAGACTCATAAATCTCAGCTCAGGGATTTATGTTCTGACTCTGAGAAGCACTCTGTCTGGATGGAGCGCTTTACATTGGAATAGATTTTTGAGAATTTTCTTCTCTAAGTTTTTGCTCCACAGTTAGAAACACTACTGTCCTTAATTTCCTGAAGGCCTTGAACATGATCTTAAGGGAGCCAGGCACAGAGCTTACGTCGCGTGAGGACAATTTCATGTGATGTCTTGCCAGAAATGATAAACCATGGCAGCTTGATAAGCAAATCTCAGAGTTCAGATTTCAGAAGTAGTCGACTTTCAGCCTGCCTGTCCAAGCACTTCTGAGGCCACAGCTGACCCTGCAGAGATGCTGACACCATAAACGGGTCTGATTTCCACCACCACGATGCCCCTTCTGCTTCAAAGGACAGATCACAGTTACTCCTCTCTCTGAAGAACTGTGAACTGTACTCAGATCAGTCCCAGGAGTCGTGGATGTGCACACACTATGGTATTAACCTATTCAGAGGATAATCACAGCTGAGTACACACACACACACACACACACACACGCCTTATGGCTTACATTTAAAAGAGGAAACCAAAGTCTGCTAGAACCAGTAAAACTCGAATACACTGGACACTATGCTCAAAACTCTTGTTTGGTGAGTCGTATTATATTGAAGGTATATTTAGAAAGATGTCTATGAAAGCAGTTAAGTCTTTCCATAAGTGCACACAAGCAGTCTGCCTTGTATGGTGAAAATGGTCTGGTCCTTCCAGGCAGGCCCATCCCAAACAAAAACCCCCAATCTGCTGCCTGTTGGAAGTGGATCTGCTGCCACTAGGCAGGTGGCTTCATCCATTAGGTTCCCTTCACACCCACAAAACTCATCTCACTCAAGCACTGCAGTTTTCTTTTTGATTCAGCTTGTAAGTGCCTTAAAAGCTTTTCAGAGATGAGCTCGGTGCCACTGCCTGCAGCAGAGATGACCTTGGGATTATATGCTTTACAAAGAAAAACTAATCGACCAACAAAAGGCTTCTCCAGAAACCAGGTGCCTGTCATGCAGAGAACACTGAGTGCTTTGGACCCAGACAGCTCCAAACTAAGTCAATCACCAGGCCCTTTTTCATGAGCAGAATGGAAAACTGGTAGAGAAAAGCATGTCTGAGTCTCTAAAATAGAAAAAGGGGAACCCAGTGAAGGGGAAAAACAACTTTCATGAACTAAAACCCACTTTACTGACCCCCCCATCTCCAGGAGAGTAAGTGGTTACCCGGGACAGATAGTACAGCGAACACAGGTTTACAAAGACTGTGGGTAGCGAACCTTACACCAAATCATATCCATCCCGCTTAATATGAAGCCCCAAACACCCTTTTCTATTTCAGGGACATTCACATGCTTTGAAAAGGGAATGGCCCCCCATGCAAACTACATAGAGCAGCCCTCCTCTGGTGGGGGCACTTTCCAAAACCCATGGACACTGAAATCTCGGGTGGTACTGAGGCCTGCTGCGCCTGTTTTTTCCTATATGAGATAAAGTTTAACTTGTATGTTAAGCATGGTAAGAGATTACTAACCAAAGGTAATACTGATCAATTATAACACTGCACTATAATAAAAGTTAACTTAAGACTTATGAATAGTTTATTTCCAGAATTTTTTGTGAAGCATTTTCTGACCTCTGTGGACAGTGGGTAACTGCAACCGTGGATAAGGGTGAGTACGGTACCTTCACTGTTTTCTCCTGGAGCTGCCCAGGCCCCGCAGCGCCTGCAGCAGAGGGCACTTACCGAGGACTCGCTGTCTCTAATGAGGAAGTCGCCCTCCACGCCCCGCTCGTTGAGGGCGCACTCAGCCTGGTGCCGCGTCACGTTGCCGTAGTACCATTCCCGGCCTGCGAAGCGCCCGCTGGACGAGGGCCCGGTGTAGCTGATCTTCGGGGCGTGCGAAGGGTGCAGGGCTGGCCCGTCATTGAGGACCACCACGTAGTTTTTGGGGACCAGGCCGACCTGACCCCGGGCGTTTTTGCATTTCCACCACTCTGGGTCGTTCTCGGGCTTCTCGATCACCTCCATGGTCTCTCCTTTGTCAAAGTTGAGCTCCTCCTCGGTGACGGAGCTGAAGGGGTACAGCGTCTGCACCACGTGCAGCACCCGGGCACCCTGGCCGTTGCTCAGGGAGGCGCCCTTCCGGAGGCTCAGGAAGCTCGGGGACTCGGCGGCAGCCTCGTCCGCCTCCTCCAGCACAGAGTTGGAGGGGAACCAGCCGATCTGCCCGTTGAAGCTGCCCAGCCACCAGCCGTCACTGCATTTCTCCATGACCGTGACGCGCGAGCCCTTGACCAGGGACAGCTCGTCCTCCCTCTCGGCCACGTAGGCGAACTTGACAAAGGCGGGGATGTTGAGGTCATAGATGCGGTCAGCGCCACTGCCATTGGAGGGGTATTCGGCGTCCGTGCTGGGCGTCGGCGATGCATCCCTGGCGCTCGGCTTCCTGCGGGTCTTGCCGAGGCCTGCGGAGACACAGCAAGGGCTCAGTGGGCACCAACTCCTACTCTGCAGCCTCGGGTGCACCGCCCCGTGTCGGTACATCAGGAGGCAGCATATGGACAGTTGCCAAAGCCAAAGACCATCAGAAAAATAAAATGCTGACAGCTGCATGGTGAAGATGAGACTTAACTAGAACTGACCTACCCTTTACGCATTAAAAAATGCCGGAGTACCTCTAACAAAAGATAACAATAAACACCCTGGAAAGCTTCCTTTAACTCTGAAAGGACCATTCAGTTTTGTAGAAACCCTGGACTTGTCAATAAATGTAGGCACAGATGAAACGTCTTCTGCATTCTTGCCAGGCAGGAAGTGGACTGAAAGATCTAAATTTAAAGACCCATCCAACTCTACCTGGGTCAAGTCTCAGTCAGCAGAACTTGCAGTCTCTAGCCTGCATCTCCTCCTCTCCACTCCTGGGCCAATCTGTCTTCCCAGGCTGCCTGGTGGCATGCTGGCCCTTCTGAGCAGACACCCAGAGACTTCTTTTATTCCCCTTCTGTACTTTGTCTTCTCTCAAAACAATGGCCTAATTTCCCAGTGTTATGACTTGAATTAGAAAAAATTAGCTGATGTGTTAAATTGGAAGCAGAATTTTTCATACTGTGGTTCAAAGCCCACAGGTGGGTCACTGAATTGACTGAATGGGTTGCAACCAGCTTGCAGGTATATACTGGGTTTAAGGGAATAAAACAGAAAATCTCCAAGTGCATCAAAAATAGGACAAGGTTGGTTTCCTTAGCCACATGTGTGAATCGGTGTCAACTTGCAATGAGAAACATATTCCTTTCTGTGAGGAAAAAAGTGTGAAAAGTCTGAAAGAAAAAAATGTCTTAAACTAATCAAAATGCACAGAATTCCAGGACATTCTAGGGGAAGAAAGCTTAGTGGTCCCTGGAGCTGGGTACAAACCACAAACCCAGGGAGGGCTGGCCTTGTGTCTCAGCTTTTCCTGAGATATGGCTGCAGGCTCACCAGTCCTGTCAAGGTATAGGTTTTGAAGGTATGGAAACTACAGGCATTTAAGGTTACCTTTCTCCCTCAAAAATGTTACCAAAGGACTTTAATGGGTAGCTTATCTCCCTCTCCTTTTATTCCTTAGCCTGAAGTAAAGACAGGCTGTTCTTAAGGACTAGTTTTCCTTCCACCACATTGCAGTGGGCAGGAGGTCAAAAAAGTTACAAGTTGTCTAGTGAGCATCCTCAGCTGTGCAGACTGGGGCTGCTGCCCCAATAGCAGGCCGCTCAGGCCTGAGACCCTGCAGCCCCGGACACAAGCCCAGCTCAGAGCCCGGAGGCATGTGGAAGACATGGTCAGTCACGTGGGATTTAAAGTCAATACACCAATTCATTTGAACTAATGGTGTTTGCTGCTTCACAGACAGTAAAGGATGAGCAACTCTAATGCAACAATCTGAAACCCAAAGTGCTCCAAATTCTGAAGCTCTGCATCAATAACATGCCACAAGCAGAAAATTCCTCACCTGACCTCATGTGATGGGTCAGTCAAAATGCACACACTAAAAAATATCGTATAAAACGTTCTCCAGGTCATGGTATAAGTTGTACATAAAATACAAATAAATTGTGTGTTTAGTCAGACTGGGGTCCTATCTGCAAGATATCTCATTATGTAGATACAAATATTCCAAAATCCAAAATAAATCCTAAATCCAAAACACTTTTGGTCCCAAGCATTTCAGATATGGAATACTTAAATTTCTGCCCAGAAGACAGCACTGCCAGAAGCTCATCAAAGAGGAAATAAAGACCCTCACCAGAGGGCAGGCTGAAAGAGCATGACCAAGCAGAGCAGCATATAACTTTTAGATATCAAAAATGTCAAGAAATAACATTTAGAGCCAGAAACAGTGAGCCATCCCTGCAATCCCAGCTACTTGGAGGGGCTGAGGCAGAAGAGTCACAAGTTTGAGTCTAGCCACAGCAACTTAGTGAGACCCTATCTCAGAATAAAATAAAAAGGGAGGAGGGTATAGCTCAGTGGTAAAGCACCCCTGGGTTCAATCCCCCAAGCACTGCAAAGAAAAAAATAAATAGGAATATTATTTTAATAAACTTTGTCAAATGTGTGACTCATAAAAATGACTGGAGAAAGTCTTGAGAGAACAATTTCAGAGTACACATCAGGACAGAAAGATAGAGGAGCCCGGACAAGGAGAAAAAACCAATACGAGACACTGGCCATTGCAGTATGTTTTCAAAGATACTTCAAAATTGACTTGTTGATTATGCTACTTCACTGCTTTGTTTCAAATCAAAATAATTTAATTTGGCCACTGGTGACTCTGAATGAAGACAGTCATACTTCCTGCCCTCCTAGAGCTCAAAGACTAGAACACTCTACATATCAAACATGTGAAGCAAAAACCTGGCTCCAATGTGACCTTATAGTCTTTGAGCCCCTTTTAAGGGAACTGGAATGACCGCCAGTGCAGCCCTGGAAAGAATCCTGAGCAGTTGTGTGCTCTTGATTTTGTGTGCCTTTGTTTCCTTAACTTTAAAAAGGGGACAGCAATGGTCCTGCTGTCTTAGTCTGCTTGGGCTGCCACAACAAAGTGCCACACTCTGGCAGCTCACTGTTCTGGAAGCTAAACATCCAAGATCAAGGTGCTGGAAGGAGTGGTTTCTTCTGAGGCCTCTCTCCTTGGATGGTAGAGTGCATCTTCTCCCTGAAACCTCACAGGTCGCCCCTATGCAGTGACTGAGTGCTCATCTTTTCTTATAGACCAGTCACAATGGATTAGAGCCCACCTTCATGATCTTGACTCAATTACCCCTTTTAAAGTCCCCGTCTCTACAGCCACATTCCAAAGTACTGGGGATTAGGACTTCAACATGTGAATCTGGGGGTAGGGGTATATAATTCAGCCCATCACAGGTATCTAAGTTCTAAGGATGTACATGAAACACACGAACTGTTCTATGAAAAAAATATTATTATCTGTACTAACAAGTTGGAACTTTGAATTTCTTTTTTTCTCAGAACAATATTGCACCAAAAGACAGCCCAAGTTCTCTTTACAGACTCTGGGCCATGATTGCATTGGTGCCAGATGGCCACCAAGATAGAAGGCATTCCTGCCGGGCGTTTGGCACATGGAATCGGACATTCTCCCATGGCAGGATGCCATATGTAGCTACTGGTGCAGTGAAATTCAAGAGGCAGCAGCTGTCTGGGGATAGAAATTGACATTATCTGAGCCCTCACGACAGTCCTGGGATGAGGTCATTTTCTGTAGATGAGAAAACTGAGGCTGAAAGAGGTCAGGGAACCAGCTGAATGCACCAGCCAATAGAGAGATACAGACCCGTGTACCCAATAATGAGCCTATTTAATCCATAATAGTCAAGATGCACAGCTCTGTCGGAGCTGGTGTAGAGCATGTTTTCTATAGAAAATGCTCCCAAGACTGTGAATTGGAGTGTCAAGGTCCTGTCCCCCTCCCTAACCACTTGCCTGCCCAAGCAGAGATGTTTCCTCTGATTCTGGGAAACAAAAGAGTCCCTGTGTCCCCAGGTGGAAGTGAGCTGAGATGCAGTATTTGGAATAAGAGATGTAGAGGTGAGTCACAGGTGGGAGCCCTGGAAGAGCAGGGGGGCCTACTGGGAGGGGCTGAGGGGTGGGTGCTGGGTGGGCAGTGTGTGAGTGGGGCAAAGTCTTGGGCTACTGAGAAAAGGAATCCCTTTTTTTCTTGCAGTCTTCTCCTTACCCTAATCCTGCCCAATGGCCAGAGCCACGGTCATCTGGAACAGAAGGGACCAGACCCTTCATGCTGGCAAAGCAAGATGTAGTTTGCTCCACCCTCCCCACTGCTGAGGATGCTGGAGGAACACAACAAAGCAGCTTCCTGGGGGAGGAAGTGACAGAGGTGGTTAAGCAATGTCCCAGGGACAAGAGGAGAAAGGCAAATACTCCAACAGTGAGGGTGGCCTTCCTTTCTATATGATGATAACCGTGTAAACTGCAATGTGAGCGGCAGGCCAGCCTGCAAGCGCATGACCTATGTGGGACCAGGCTACGGGGGCTCAGTGACTCCCTGTCACTCTTCTTCACCTGGAGCTGGAACTTAGCCTGCCTGTGTGTCTTATAGACGGGGACAGTGCTGCTGAGCATGTGAACATGGGGGAGTAAAATTCAGCTCAGCACTAGACCCGAGTCCCTGGATTGTACCCAGGGGCCTAGACGCCAGTGAATGGCTCTAATTTGAAGGCAAACCTGTGACCTTGAAGGTAAAGAGGGAGCATGGGAATTCCACTGTTTCCTCACTTTCTCTTTCTCTCTCTCTCTCTCTCTCTCTCTCTCTCTCTCTCTCTCTCTCGTGTGTGTGTGTGTGTGTGTGTGTGTGTGTGTGTACGTGTTTTTCCTGAGCATCCGCTTTACCTCTATTCTTTCACTGAAGTCCTATCATTTACTTCTTCTAGTTGTAATGGAAGCACAATTTGAACTCCAATGTGGTTTTCATTTTAACAAGGTACCATGACATTTTTCCTCCTATAATTTGACGTATGTGCTCAACAAGAGAGGCAGGCCCTCACACCCACTCCTCACTCAGTCCACGCTTACCTACCAGAAACAAACCAAAAGTAACCCCAATGTGGCCTCACGAGAGCTTCTAACCAGCCTTTATGTACACTTCATGTGAGGAGAACAAGTACATCCCAGGGCTGTCTGTAGCAAACTGCCCACTTTGGGCCCAATGATGAATTCCTGATGCAGCCTTGGCCCAGGATGGACGGACCACAAACATGTGCTTCAGGCAGAACCACTGTCTCCACTGTCTCTGTACGTGAGCCCTCGCCCAAGAGAACACCCAGATAGCCCAACGTCTGCCATCTGTGTACTTACCCAGGTGTGGGGTACACTAATGTTCTAGCCAGACATTAGGTGAGAATTAAAAAGATACGTTCTTGTTTCAAGTCTCACTTTAGCCAGAAAATCCCAC